AATAATGTGGACTTCTGAAGATAAAACTGCTACTTATAGATAGAATTAATCACATTGTACGGGGTTGAAACAACCGTACATGTATTTCCGTGCCAAAGCGATTCTGAGTAAAATAACGGATTTTTTTTAAATTCACAATTATCTGTTGACATTGACTGTTATCGTAATGCATAAAAATTCTCGTTTTATTTAAATTCTACTGCAAAATATTTTATATTTATGTGCCTTTTTATTCTTTTATGACGATTATTTTAGCTAAATTCTTCATGTATCTGTAGCCATTTCCCGGCCGTGATTATATTCGGTCAAGATGTTGGAAAGAAGCTTCCAAATTATTTGTAATACATGTGTAGATTAAATTTTCAAAACTAAATAAGTAATGTGTTGTCATAGTTTTTATTGAACAGAGAAATGTTTGAGAGAGAGAGAGAGAGAGAGAGAGAGAGAGAGAGAGAGAGAGAGAGAGAGAGAGAGTAAGAGAGAGAGAGATATAAGGGTAATAAAGGTAATGTTTTTCTTAGATTAACAAATCCATTTGATAGTAATCATTGCTTTTATTTTCCATTATCAAGTTCACACAGTTCACAGGAAGTCCGTGTTATATTTGTAGTAGCGTGCTTGTGCTGTCAATCAAAATAATTCGACACAGTGGAGGTGTGGAAATCGCGTTTCAACGAACATGCCGAAGGCAAGGAGTCACTTAGTATTCCAAGAAATTTCAATATTTTCCCCTATCATTTCTAGATGTGGGGGTCTTAATTATACTGAATAGCAAAAAAGATATTTTTTTTAACATGTTTAGGTACGGAGAAGGAAGGTATTTTTCTTCTCTAATAATAGACTATTTTAAACAGTTGGTCTTTTCTAGAATTTAAAACCACACCATCAACTTAATTAGCTCTAAAGATATTTAATTAACTGAATATTTGCAGTACTGTTCATAATTCCTAAACCTACATGTAGTTTAAATACGTGTTACTGTAGAAATAATTCTTTTTATGCATTCTTGTCCTGTAAAAGACTTGGATTAATTATTATACATCCATTAATAATTTGTCCTCTTTAGAATTACATCAAATTGATCCGTGCGTGAAGCACTTGTACACTGCCCTTTTTTTAATTAAATATTTTAGCATCGTTCTACATACATGTAGGTGCTTAATGTATTAATTATTTTCTAGGGAAAATTCATGAAATAAGTAACAGCTGAGTTATAATAATAGAAATATAAATATCATAGATAATTTTTGCAACGAAATAATTATTCTTTAAACACGATATCTAAATTATTTAATTAAAAAACATGTAAATCCTTACCATCAAAAAGATAAGTCCTTTCACTTCGGAGTTCCGAATGACAATGAAGACTGAACGATAAGTGAACGGTGAACGCAAGGTGAACGCAAAGTAAACGGAACGAAGAGCGAACGGTGAACGTTTTATGAACGGTGAACGCGAGCGCACGGTGAACGGTGAACGCAATACTGTGAACGAAGAGCGAACGGTGAACGCACGCTGAACGAACGGTGAACGAACGCTGAACGAACGGTAAGCGAACGGAAAAATGGGAAAGTAGAACGTTTCAGGGATTGTAGGTATAATTTTTACGTAGACAAAATAAGCATTAGGTTATACGATCTGGATTAATTTTTTTATCCATAAAAGGACACGTTACAACTAAAATTGAATTTTACATAATTAAATAACCAAATATGGTGATTTAAAAAAAAATCTCGTTGCTTTTTTTTAATTACTACAATCGTTTTAGATTTTGAAGACATGAATGTGCAACTGCATTGAAAACAAAGCACAATTTACAACAACTCTTAAACTAACATAACTGTCCAAAGTGAAGAAATATTAATATAGAAAGCACAAAGAAATTCACTTTTACATGGAGACCCACTTCTGCCCCAGCGCGGGGTTGAACTCTCGACCTTCGGAATCTGTCTCCTAGCAGTGCAGGAACAGCGTGCTAGACCGCTCGGCTATCTAGGCAAGTTAAAAAAAACTTGCTTTCGATGCCGATGGAATTCTCGCGGCGCTGCCCTACACTACACGGTCATTGAGAATAGAAGTGGGATACAGTTATTTGGACATTGGTTTTAACAGAGGATTGTTACCAATAACTTGCCTAGATAGGCGATCGGTCTAGCGCGCTGTTCCTGCACTGCTAGGAGACAGATTCCGAAGGTCGAGAGTTCAACCCCGGGCTGGGGCAGAAGTGGGTCTCCATGTAAAAGTGAATTTCTTTGTGCTTTCTATATTAATATTTCTTCACTTAGGGCAGTTATATTAGTTTAAGAGTTGTTGTAAATTGTGCTTTATAAATAATAATTAATTTCATTACAACATGTATTGGTAACAATCCTCTGTTAAAACTAATGTCCAAATAACTGTATCTCACTTCTATTCTCAATGACCGTGTAGTGTAGGGCAGCGCCGCGAGAATTCCATCGGCATCGAAAGCAAGTCTTTTTTTACTTGCCTAGATAGCAGAGCGGTCTAGCGCGCTGTTCCTGCACTGCTAGGAGACAGATTCCGAAGAAAGTTCTGGAAGTTAATTTGCACTGTTTGGGAAGTACTGAAATGTTTCCACTACATTTGTACGCAAACATTCGGTTATAAATAAAAATAACGTTTTAAGGACAAAACTCAGCTCTCAGCACCTTTCAAAATATACGCAATATACGCAAATAATATACCATATTTCAGCTCAAACAAACTAGCTATAGTCTATGTCATTGCACTTTTCATGCAAAATACGAATATTCTCATCGTTCAAGCGATACTCTATACATTTCTTATTCCTGTGCAGCTCCATTGCTACTAGATAAATTCACAATCTATAAAATGTATATACATTATATTAAATGAAATATTTTATTTCAGTATTAATAATCAAGTTAATTTTTTTCATATTTTAACATTTTTGTCATGTAAACCAGTGAATTTATTCCTCTGGATCACTTGTTTTGCGTCATATCAAGGCTGGTGACGTCATATTTGACGAAAGACTTCAAGACGGATTGTCCCATTATTTCCCGATTATGACAAGAAACACACGGTGGGTACCGGTGTGGCCAGTCAGCAGCGGATGCTCAATCCTCCATGGCCTTCTGATCCCACCTCTGATCTTTTGGAAGTTTGTGTTTGCTTTGCTTCATTTTTGTATTGGTTTATGGTCTTTTGAGCTTGAATACTATTTTTTATTTCCATAATTATGTTTCATTTGACCGTTTTGTTATCAAGTATTGTAATTTTACAAGATTTTATTAGTAAGTGATAAAATTATTATCAATGAACTTTAGTTTGTGTTAACGCATCATTAATTTAACTTTTCCCCACTTATTAATTTTTCATGACGTCACAATTAAACTTTCTATATGGTGCACCACGTAACTCGATTCTTCCTTAACGTAACCGAGGTTTCAATTAATAAACTGTTGTATCATTCTAAAAGATACCCCAAGCTAGGACCAAAAAGGGGTCTGAGCCTTTCTTTTCCTTTGGCACCATAACTGTTGTAGAAAATACCTTTCCGTCTCAAGATATTTTTGCCAAAATATATCACCCCTCCAGTTGGATTTTTTTTGCCAACAATATCTCTCCAAGATCGGGGTATGCACTCGTCCCCGTTGGTGAAATTATTTATTAAATGATTGTAATTTATTAGCAGACAAACAAAATTTTACAAGAAATATTAATGTTTACAAAGAGGCATTGTTTGACTATGATTCTTGAATATTGCGGCACGCTATGTTAATTAGGCTTCTGTTCATGTATGTAACACGTTTCGATACTATTAGGAATTGTACTTGTATGAGTCAATGGTGACATGATTTAATCAGTATTTGCAATAATTGAATACGATTAGGCAAATAAATTTGATTGATATTTTTAAACTATTAAGGGGAGACAGGGAACATGTCACATGACTATAAAGACATATTACGTCATAATCGGTGATGATATACATATTAAACGCTGTTAAAATCAACAGCTCTTGTGTAATTTTATTCTAAATTATAAAATTGTTTTTTAAACATTTAATTTTGGAAATTATAATTAATAAAATTTTTAAAGATCTTGTCATCATTTAGATATTGTGAAGTTGCCCAATCCCCACATTTGTTTCTCTTTACCCTGCAGTCTGACGTCAGTGACGTCATAGACGTAGTGTTTGAATTCTCAGTGCAGCGAGATCAAGTACACACATCCGTCATGATCAGTTTTATTTCATAATAAACAGGTCACAGTCAATGTATCGTGATAAATTTCTGAAGCAGATTTTTTAAAATGAATACTTTTCGTGTTTAGTGGCAGAGATTCTCTCTATTTAGATAATTTTGAATGTTTATGTTTTTCTGTGACGTCACAATTGATTTCCCGCAGTCAGAAAATACAAACTTGAAGCGTTTTTATCATGCTTACGTTTAATTCAACGATGTCCCGTGCGATATTGAGGTAAGCTTCACCCTGTGATATTTATGCAGCAAATAATTACTATGAAGGACTGACATTCAATCATAAATTTAGAAATATTTATTGACAGAATTTTTTTCCAAATGAGGTTTTTGTCGTTGAAGCTGCCTTGAAAAATGCAGAAACTATCCCACCCAAATACTATATAAAATCAAAACAATTGCTTTCATATAATTTAAACACTATGAATATTCTGAAATATTTGAGTATATAGTGTTATCTATCATATTTATCGTTTGTGCGTAAAAAATTGCATTATGGACTCTGTTATGGGCCCGTAAACATGAAGTATCTAAACTCCATACAAACTCTAAACAGGGCGGTATTTGTGGGTCGATATCTTTTAAATAAGTCTAGAAATCCCATGACAGGACCGTTTTAAAATGTTAAGTACATATTAAATTAGTAATGTAAAAAATACCAAAAAAATTCATTGACAGGATTTTTTTCAGCGAAAGGTCCTGTTCCTCCTTAAATGCGATTTGTATATCTGCGCAAACATTTTATGTGCATGGACATTTTTTCTTTTCCTTGAAGTAACTTTATACACTTATCTTTGATTTGTTGAATCTTGACCAAATAGTCAATATGTCTTCAAATGTTACTCAGTTTTAGTTTTTCCTTTGAAAACATTTCGGACGTCATAAATAACAGTAATTGTACCTTTAACTTTCCCGCTGAGAGAAAAAGAAGAGGAGACTATATTCGTGATATGGACTTCATTAAAGGTAACAATACCTTTTGTGGTCAAATCTAAACAAAAGGAAAAAGATGTCATAACAAAAATCAGCCTCATCTGCTTCCCTACCAACAACTTGAATTTTTATAATTTATTTTTACAACTGTATTTTGTGTTTCATCAATACATAAATGAAAGGCATGAATCATTTACAAAATATTTGTTAGCATTTTTGCATAGATGTCTTTAACAAAAGTTAATGTAAATTTTAATTTGCGTTGTATTTTTTCTCATTATCCTAATGCTTACTAAGAGTTAGGGATATTATATCTTTAATGCACTTTAAGGAATGAAAGTAACAAATTCCAGGATGAACACGTTGCTATATATAATAGAGCACGGAGTGGTTCGGCATTATCTGATTTGCTGGATGTAGGTATGAAAATATTTTCATTTTAAAGTAAAAATATTAATGTTTGAAATTATTGATGAAATGTAAGAATATAACAGAAAACATAGAAATACCAAGGGAGGGCGTAAGAGTAGGGATAGATATTTTTGGTATAGTGTTATTTACTGCCGATAAGTTGTAAACAACTGCAATTTTAACTTTTAATACCATGGGACGCTATATTATTTTTTCCCTAAGCGCTGAGAAATATCCATTGATGCCAAGGATTTTACTGAAATTAAATTAGCATAGTATTGAGAGGGCAAAGATTTGTGTAGAGTTCTATGGGGAAAATAATGAATAGTCTTTTCTCAAGAGAAATGTATATAGTTTTTCCAGGCGAAAGTTAACTGCTCACGAATAAAACAATTGGAATTTTCAAAAATATATGATGAGTATCAGGGCACCATAAAAGATTAATTAAATAGAATTGAAAAATACAGAAAACAACAATAAAAGAAAACCATAAGGGATGACTGTATGCTTGTGAATTTTAATATACTAATGGAAAACAGAAGGGTGAATGAACAATATAATTTTTTTTTGCTCCAATTTTCTACTGAGCTTGAGTCATGATCGCTTTCTTCATAATTGATAGAAAAAGCATGCTAAGATATAGCATGTTTTCATTACGCTTATGGTCTGGTTTCATGACTCATCCTTGCCAAGACAATGAATCAAAGTATCCGAAGCAAAAGTAGAGACAGGGAACCAGAAAAATACGCTTAATATATCTTAAAGAAATTGATTTAAATTTTAATAAATACATATGATTACCGATGCATCCATGTTTTGGATTACAGTATTGTACTTCACAATGGCACTTCTTCTGACAATACTGGCCATAGTTAGGATACGGACAGGGTATTTCACAATAATGACCTATAAACCCCTCTTCACAGTCTATTGAAAATTTATAAACAAAACATAGATTAACACATACATGTATACTCTTACACCTGTACACTATCAGGGAATATGTGATATTCAGATAAATAAAAGTGATTACTTAGATTATTATACAGATGCACATGAAAACCTAAATGCCCGGTGAAATTGGATAACTCTCTAACGTGATCTTTCGTGATAATAAAACTCTTAAAATATTATTTTTAAATATAAATTCAATTATAGCATATTATATGGAATGCTATATACGACAGCCAACTGCTAACTGCTTACTGCCAACTGTCAGCTGCTTACTGCCAACTGCAACACATATCTGAATAAATTTTCTTATTTTATTTTGATACATTCATGTGTATTTTCAAAAAACAGACGCGGATCCAGGATTTTTTTTCCAAGAGGGACACCCGGGTAGAAAAAAAACCAACCCAGAAATTTCTTGACAAGAAAAAATGTAAACTTAGTTAAATTCCTAAATGTGAAAAATTATTTTATCAGGGGGGGGGGGGGGGGCTAATGCTTTAAGTATATGAGATTTTTCAATTAAACACGGATCCGCGTTTTAGGGGGGGGGGGGGGCAAGGTCCCTTTTAATTTCTGCATTATATAACTTTCAGTTGGTTTAGTTTGAAATCGAAATTTATTTTTAAAATAACTCCCCTGTGAATCAACAACAAATCCTTTTTTTCAGTTTTTATCCTTTCCAAAGACTTTGTTGTCTCATGTTACCGGGGGGGAGGGGGGGATTAAAAACAGGAAAATAGTCATTTTATAAGATAGCAAATAAAAAATAATATACTTTATCAATCTCATTTGTTGAATTTTACATTAATAAAAACATACGATGAGATAAAGGAGTCATTTATCCATTTTCATTAGTATTTGAAGATCTGATGATATGTTCAGTCTGACTTCAATTGATAAAATCTACCCCTTATTAAAGGAGTTATACATAAGAGCAATTAACTTTTTGTCCATGGTTTTTAGAATAAGTACTTAAAACTGACCTTGGAACACCCCCCCCCTCCCCGAAAACGCGGATCTGTATTAAGTTAATTTGTATGAAAAGTCATAGATATGAAGATATGGAGCACAACCCACCCATACCGCCAAAATAATTTTTCACGTTTACGAAAGGAGTTTACGTTATTTTTCTTGTCAAGAAATTTCTGAGTTCGATTTTATTTTAACTGGGGTGAATCCCTCCTGGAAAAAATCCTGGATCCATGTTTTTTTTTTTTTTTTAATTTTTATTTTTTTTTTTTTGACAATTCACATAAATATCAACGAAAATATGAAAATTTATTCAAATATGTGTGGCAGTTGGCAGTAAGCAGTACGCAGTTGGCAGTAAGCAGTTGGCTGTCGTATATGGCATTCCATAATATTATGTTTAGCAAAAAAAAAAAAAAAATGATGAGCAAGGAAGTGGTTAACAAGGAAAACCTTATTATTCTGTTGGCATTGTGTTTATCTAAATGTATTGTTTTAAATACACATTTATAGAATTAATTTGATTAACGAGTCTGGTAATTTTATCTTGATAGTTAAATGAACAGAAAATGATGACCATTAGATCATAGCCTCATATGAAATAAATTACCCGAAATATTTCTTTTGCATCCATAAATGTGGTGACACTCCTCTTTTGTACACGTGCAAATCTTACTACAGTGAAAACCATACCACCCTCTTGGACAAGTTAAATTGCATCCAGCTCCAAAGAATCCATTGCCGCATGCTTAATGTGAAATAAAGTGATGTCTTGATAATTATATTGAGGCTATTACTCATTTGAAAAGATATATACTGTAGATTCCTTATTTTTTGCGGGTATTTATCATCGCGGGATGGCCCTTAAACGTGAAATCGCGAGAATAATTATTCGCGAATGAATGATTGATCAAGAGAATTTCCATGGATTTCAGCTTCATAAAAAACGGAGTATTTTTATTTCGCGGATGATGCTTCTCGCGCAATTACGCGATTATAATTCCTCGCGTATAATTAGGAATCTACAGTACTTTTGTAATGCTTTTGAATGCTTTATAGATGTACTCATGTACATGTACCTACGGATACATTTTCCAAGTGTTTGATTCCACTGATGACCATAAGGACACTGCACACTGTCTTCTCTGAAATGAACACCATCAAATTATAATAATCTTCAATAACATGGTTATAAGATTTTCATACTTACTAAGAAAATAGTGTTTAAAAATCCTGAATTTTTCAATCGGAGAATATTGAACTATAACAATTTATAATAAATGTTACCCATAGCTCAGCCTAATGTGAACAAAACAGAATATAAATATCCAAAAGTGTAATACATTTTCAAAAATCATTGCTGAGTTATAACATTTAACTGGAAAAAATGAAGTTATTCTTCAGCTTTGATTTTATAAATCAAATATGTTTAATTATATTTCTCAAACTTGTATATTTTTCCTTCTTCCGCATACTAAAAAATGCTTCATTAAATAATTTTAAATGAACTCTCGCATGTATAGAGTTTTCCTGGTTTTACAAATAGTACGAGATTGAGATAAATATTAAATCCAATGCCGAACTAAATTGAAGGGATAATGTTCCATCTAGATAAATGCAGACTAAAATTCATGAGTGAAGAAGTTACTTGTACAATGCTGATTCCAGAATCAATTTAATTTTACAACAATTTATTTAATAATGAAAGTATCCTTATTGTATAAAAAACAAAACAAAATAAAAGGCTTTATTAACGGCAGCTAGGGATTCTATAAGAGAATTGTGAGGTAAAAGACGCGTTTCATAAACATCGGACAAGAATGTGCTAATTTATGAATACCGCTAAGAAATCATTTACTAATACAAAACAAGGCATGGACATCATGATTACGCTTACAAATCTATAACTCTTGATTCCGCTTAATTCTTAATAAGCTAATTCATGTACACATACAGTATTACAATGCCCCCTCCTCAACCAGAGCTTGTAGGAAAAATAAAACTTTTATAACCATCAAACTCAAAGGTATTATCACACTTTAACCAACATTCTAATAAATCAATAACGTCAAATGCTTTAACTTTATTTACAAATTCAACATCACGTAATTATTTGCTTCACACCTTTGTTTACATTCCATGTTCAAAACGATAATTTGTTACTTCTACACTGTCTGATACTGCATATTTTGGATACTACGTCACTAGTGAATCGGCGATTGTCACTACTAATAGGACCTCGGTCACTGCAAAAGCTACGCGATTCCTCATTATGTGATTCTGCAACGGCGTCCCCATAAGTGGCCCTAGCGTGATTACCAAATTCTGGTGCCGCAGCCAGGACCGCATGTGTGTAATCCATTTACTCCTCCTCCTGGTCCAATTCATAGTACAGAGTTCCCCTTCAGTTCCCTTAGTTTGTCTAACTAATTTGGCGGAAGGACCTTCCAACCGAAACTGCCTCATAATCGGAATAACCTGACGTCGACGCTCTTAAATGACTGCCGGGAATTGCAGTTGAATACTAAACCAAGATCCTTTCAACCTATTAGCCCTCTCCAGCACCATATCTATAAATGAAGACAATGAACAGTATGCAAGCTCAAAAGTCAACTCATGCAGTACACATTCAGATGCAGAGCAAACACAGACCTCTAAAATATCAGAGGTGGGATCAGGTGCCATGCAGGAGTACCGGGAGTATGCATTCCTTGACGACCGTTTACATCCGCCTTGTGCTCCTTGCTTTTTGAAAAATTCCATTTGAAGTCCGTATTACGGAATTTCCAAGGTCGATATTTATAGCCATATTTTAATTTACACAGGCTAATACCTCATATTATTTGGTCGCATTATGTCGGGCATATTTCCAGATTCAAACCATATGTATACTTAGATCTATTGATGTTTATATCATTGTGTAATGAATTTTCTTTTGTTGAGAATGCTAGATACAGGTACTGTATTGACAATAAAAAGGACCTGTTCATTGTTAAAGCACCACAAATGGATATTTCTGAGAACAGAGAAAATTCAACTGTTAAAAGCAATACTTTGAGTACAATTTCATCGAAAATATTGACCGAAGGTAAACTCTTTTCTTAGTTCTTTTTATGCATTTTTGTACCTTAAGCTTATCCCTACATAAAACCATTTTACCTTATTCTAAACATCTTCTTAGAGTTAAATTACAATAAATGATGAATTTTTCTTAACGATATATTTTAACATTAAGCAGAGAAAAAAAAAAAACAAAGTGACCAACACGCACTGATCATATATTTAAAATAAGTATATCTAACAAATATCAGCACATGTGCATGATTAAATAACCTGTTCTGGACATTAAATGGAAATTAAATCCTCTCAGGAAATAAAATTATAATGAAATATGTTATGGAGTACCCTTCTCTCATTAATTACCCGGAATTTAGTATATGGCATACTTATAGTTTAAAAATGACGATAGTAGAGATTTAAGACATGTAATATAAATGATGATTTAAAAACGAGCAAACACTTTATCACGAAAATGTGCAAATGGTTTATTAATGTCATTTTGTGCATTGGATTTTTGATATGGTCATCTTATGCATTTATCCCTTGGTTAGCAAAGGAACTATCTACCAGGTAATACTATATATTCTATATATATATGGGGATCAATTTAATATCTTTTTGTCATTTACAAAAAGAATTTTCATCTCTTGCAATGTAAACCTATTTTAACATAAAATCATTGTTCTAATTAGTCTTCAAACTTTAAGCAATGATGAAGTGTGTAAAGTGTGGGACCAAACACAGGACAGGTGTCTAGGTGAGCCTGAATATTTGTTCTTATAATTTTTTTAATGAATTTTAAATAAATTTATATAAATTCTCACATTCTTTCTTGAGTTTATAGGACTTTTCTTGTAGAACTATATTTTTTTCATAGCAAATCTTGTTTGTTGATAGCAAAAGTGCCATAAGAGTACACGTATAAAAGTAAATTTCAATCAATACTTATGAGGTTTGTTCGAAAAATTTTTGGACTGGTGCGATAAAATTAATACTTTATAATATATGCTTACAGACCTTTTCAGGATCATGAAACAACAAAAGTAAAGGAATGTTAAAAATTTAAGCTTGATGCCTTAAATATTTATCAAATTATCGTAAAATAAAAAAAAAGACATTATATGATCATCTGGCGCTGTCGCCATTTAGTTTCAGGGCGTCATTGTTTCTCATGGTCAGAATTTTTACCTCATTCATCTACCTTGTATAGATTCGTTAGAGTTAAGTAAAGACTTTAACCTGTCTTGTTTATATGCTTTTACATTGTCATAGACAACTGATTTCAATGCACATAAAATTGTAAATAGATCTAGATCTATTCATAGTGAAAGATCCTCACTTAAAAGCTTTATGGAATGTCGGAAAAAGAGACTCACTTCCTTTCTGACGTCATTACAATCCCTTAATTGTTTTGAAAATAAATATAAAATTTACGATAAAATTTCATAGAAAGTACAAAATGAGGTAAAAATTTAACGGTACCATTTTGCTATGCCACATGAGTGAATTAACTGTATTTTTGGATGACATATGCTCATAGAAAAAATTCTCAGTAAAACTTACGTAGAAAAAAAACCCGTGATCTTCGAGGTTGCACTACTTGGACATACAATTGTATTTTAAAACATCAACACTTAACGTGTATCAAAGTAAGCCTAACGATGTATAGTTTATTATAAAATGAAAATGATGCAAATTTACATTTCAAAACTTTATTGATTTATGTTAAGAGGTTTTTATTTTATGGCTCTAGTCTACGAATTTTTCGAACAACCCTCGTAACTTTATTTATTAGAAATCCTCCAACAAATTTTCTATTAACACTTGTTCCAGTTATTTGGCATTGTTTTATGGACTTTTGATCTTGAGTTCTGTATGTTATCTTCATATATTTTATTTAAAATAAATATAAAAATTACAATGTGAACCTCCCACATCAAGAATGATTAAAATGTGGTTTAGGATTGATAGATTGATTGTATACTGTTTAAAGTCCCTCTCCAGAATATTTCACTGATATGGAGACGTCACCATTGCCGGTGAAGGGCTGCAAATTTTGGCCTATGCTCGGCACTCAGGGTCATTGAGCAGGGAGGGATCTTTATCGTGCCACACCTGCTGTGACATGGGGCCTCGGTTTATACGGTCTCATCCGAAGAACCGCCCCATTTAGTCGCCTTTTACTACAAGCAAGGGGTACTGAGGACCTATTCTAACCCGGATCCCCACAGGGTTGTGGTTTAGGACAAAATTGCCTGTTTTATTTGTAAACTAAATTTTACAAATGTTCATTGCTTCAATTTCTGAATAAAACATAGCTTTTGATAACACACATGTGAAAAAAAGGATTAAAGTAAAAATACCTTATAAACTTCTTAAATATTTTTTTCCTTCTTCCTAGATACAGAGAGTGACACTTTTACTTTTACAAATCGATTTTTTTGGTTCTACTTCATTTTTTTTATTGATCATATAAGTAATTTATGTAATAATTTGAAAGAGAAAAATATAATATTAAATGACAAATGTTGAAACTATGAAAATGAATCAGGAAAGTTAAATCATTTCCATGAAGAGTAAAACGTCATATAGCATAATATTCTATCATAATATTCTTCTGTTAGTTATTTTCGAACAGAAAGAACTATGACATTCTTGTTGAAAGTAAAGAAACAATTATAATCACTGTTTGAAAATCTATTTCGTACGATGAATGGATTTACAATAATAAAGACTTTTTAACTTGCCTTTTTTTTATCAGAGTCTAATGATGGATTTCAATATGATAACTGTCGTCGACCTTGCCGCTATCCTAACTATGGGAAGGATTGTCAGATGCGTTGCAACTGTGCAGAACGAAACTGCAATTTCAAAAGAGGGTGTGAAGGCATGTACATTAATTTAAATGATGAGAATGTACAGTATAAATTGCAAAATCCGGTTACATAGAAATTGGAAAGATTCGACAACACCCTTTTAGGCAAAGGCTTTAAAGAATTGAATTTAGCAAAAAAGATAATACCATTTAAATAAGGAATCCCAATACAAACCACATGGTCAAGGCAATTAACTGTACAATAGTTTGTATTTGCTTAGGAAATATACCTCATTATAACTATCATCCTATCTTTTGAATTTTTGTATTTTTCAGATGGGTCTCCGACGATTTCACCCGTGGTTCCAAGTATTTCAACCACATCTCTTCCTGGATATACAATGCCCGTTTTGTCTACAGGTTACTAATAAACCCATGATGGATATTAATAAAATTTTATTCTATGTATTAGCCATATAAGATTGATGTAAATGCTTTAATTTGTAATTATTTGTCACATCGTCACTCACAGTTCAATCAGCAATGTTTATAAATCTCGTCTGTTCCCTGCAGCTGGAGCGCACTGGAAGTATTTTTAAGATTTAAACGCACTATCATTTACCGGTAGCTTTTTCTATAAACGTCTTTACATATAAAGTGCGAAATTAATTAACTCAATAACCAAAAATTATATTGATTTTTGCTAGACATGGTATACAATCAAGTCATTCTGGCATATCATCCAACACTTTCCTCTTGCCAAAACTGTCCTGTTAAAAGTAAACAGAAGCCATCTGCAAGAGAGATTTTTTTTATCTATCTGTTAGAATCAGGGAACATCGTGAATAACAGTCATCATGATATCACTTCAGAAATTCATCTTAAAATAACAAAGAGAAGTTCATATTTTACTCTTTAGAGTGTGAACCGGGATATTTAGGAAACAAATGCGAATCTCCATGCAGATATCCGAGTTACGGCATCGATTGTCAGATGAAATGTGAATGTAGTGGCCCTGAGAAATGTGATCATGTTAAAGGATGTGTAGGTAAAATATAATTTGTATATATCAAATAATAGTAGAACACAATATAAACCTATCATTATATTCAGGTACTTTTTACAGAAAGTAAGAATCTATTTTTATTAACACTATCCCTCCATCTCCTTCTCGTTTTTTGTTTTCAAAAAAAGTTTTAAAATTTAAACAGTATGTTGTTCATTTTCATCATTTTATAAACTTGGTGTTCTGTAGATGTTCAATCAGTTTTTGAGGTCTTATCAGAGAGACCCACAACATTCAATTCAAATTGATATGCACTTGGAAAAGGGAATTTGGTGCTTATTTTATCGATTTAGGTCAATCGCGATCGGGATGTAGTGCATGATTTAGGTATCATAGAGCGAGCCTTTTATCATTTGAGCAACCGCGATAGTTGCACGAAAATAAGAAATCATTTGATTTGACGTTTAATTTGATATATTGACGACATATTGACGATGCTTTATTAATTAAAAACGTTTTCATTCCTATCTTCATTCTATATATCACAATAAACTCGATAAAGGCCGCCACTGGTTGTTAAAATAAATAAAATGGGTCAAAGAATGTTTCCACTTAAGCATAGTGCCGTGGCCCCTTCTTTGGACCCCTCTAACTTTATCTAATTCACTCAAATCTTAATAATTTTACACCTAACCGATATTTTGTTATGTGTGGTACATAACTTGCAAAAATTTTCATTAAAGACTTGGCTTTAGTTTTATTTAAGGTTTATTTATTTATTTATTTATTTATTTAAAACCCTCTATTGGATGTTAATTCCGGAATATTGAGCTTGTCCTAGTGAGGTATGTCCAGTGCACGATGTTTTTTCGATATTGTCAACATCGCTGTAAAAATATCAGTCCTTCTAATATCATAACATATTCAACATGACAATAATTCCTTTGTTTATCTGTCTATATATTGCATTGTTTAACAATACAGAGTCACCGTCTTGTTAACTTTGCCTCCCCCTTTCTGTAGTTCACATTGCTCACATCGTCGATATAGCAATATTGGTCGATATCGAGTCGACATCGTGTCAACATTGCCCTTCTTATTTTTCTTGTTTACATCGTTCACATCAACGACATCGCAATGTTGGTCGATATCGAGTCGACATGACGTCAACATTGCCTTCTTTTTATCCTGTTTACATCGTTCACATCGTCGACATCGCAATGTTGGTCGATATCGAGTCGACGTCGTGTCAACATTGCCCTTCTCATTTTTGTTGTTTACATAGTTCACATCGTCAACATTGCAATGTTGGTCGATATCGAGTCGACATCGTGTTAACATTGCCCTTCTTATTTTTGTTGTTTACATCGTTCACATCGACAACATTGCAAAGTTGGTCGACAGTGAGTCGACATCGCGTCAACATTGCCTTCTTTTTATCCTTTTTACATCGTTCACATCGTCGATATCGCATTGTTGGTCGATATCGAGTCGACATCGTGTCAACATTGCCCTTCTTATTTTCTTGTTAACATCGTTCAAATCGTCAACATCGCATTGTTGGTCGGTAATTGAGTGTGAACATTGCATTCTTATTAATTTTTGTTTATATACTTAGTATCTGTGTTGGCCTATATCGAGTTGTCATCATGTCAACATTTAGTTTCCTTTTTTTGTCATTTTATCTTGGTAAAATCATTTACAACGTATTTAACGCATAAAATCAAGTTGAGTTCATATTGATAAGGCAATATATTCTGTTTACTTTTGCATATCATCACCAGGGCAATCTTTAACTCTTATGAGTCCACATCAAGTGTACATCAGGTACATGTATGAAGCATGTCTCTTACATTCTGAAAATGAACTAAAAAACTGATTTTCAACCTTAGAAACAGTGTTTTTCATCTGTACAGTACATGCAAAATAGTTTTAAAATTATTTACATTGCGTTATCAATATACAATGAAGAAATAAAAGCAATGTAGACAAGGTAAACGCGATATCGTATCAACATTGTTTACATTGCGATGTCGACGTCGACGATGTCGTCATGTAGAAATAATAACAATGTAGACAATGTAAACACGATATCTTATCGACATTGTTTACATTGTGATGTCGACGTTATCGTCACGTAAAAACAATTACAATATAGACGATGTAAACACGATATCGTATCAACATTGTTAACATTGTGATGTCAACGTTGACGATGTTGTTATGTAGAAACAATAACAATGTGGACGATGTATTCACGATATCGTATCAACATTGTTTACATTGCGATGTCGACGATATCGAATTGACTAAGGGAACTGGACATGAATGGTCCTAGTTGGGTTTTAATTGGGTCACATTAATATTCGAAGTAGGCCGGGCATTTATCGATCGATTGAAAACATGTAATAGTCACTTATAATGGCAATAAAAAATAAAATACAGAAAAGTAAACACAAAGAACTCCTCAAGCTTTACGCCATTTTTTTTTGTGGGAGGGGGGAGGAGGGATCTTGCGCGGAGATGTGCATGTACTCCCTCCCTAAATCCAGATTCTCCCCTCAATTTTTAGTCCTTTCTAGGTGAAAATAAATTGTTAAAGAAAGCTTACAAGTTTGTAAATAATAACGGAATAAACTCCCATTAAAGAAAAAACTTCTTTTGTATTTTCTATAACATTAGTTCCGTATCGAATTTATTCAATGTCAAACTCTCTCTCTCTTTACGTACTTTTAAAAGTTGGAGAGGGCTTATATAGGCTATGTCTGCTGCCAAATCCATTTATGTATTTTACATAATAAAATATGTTCAAATCAAAAGTTGTACAGATTTTTGTTGTTGTGATGCTGCGTGTGGTGATATTTTATTACTAAATCAATTTTATTAATTGTATGTGTGATTGTTTTTGTTTGTTTGTTTGTTTTCCTCTTTTTTAAGAGAGGGCGAAAACATTCCAGTGTTAAACCATCTACGTACTTCTATACCCTGTGTTCATATATTTTTACAGTAAAAACACTTTGCGGAATGATGGCATTGCGACGACGACTGGGAAAAAATCTCTTTGATATTCTTTGACCCTCCAAACGTGCCCCCTAAATCGAAAAACTAAAACAAAATATCATTTATTTACATTTTGTCCAGTTTTATATTCCATTACCCTATAAAACATACTAGGCCGAAAACAAATCGATGTTGATTAATTGAAAATGTACATGTAACGGTATAAGTCGGTCACCTTTCCACCCCTACTAATGTTATTGTGATTTAAATTCAAGACACGTGGTTTAGGTTTACCTATTCAAAGGTTATAGGGTAGATCCGGTTTTATAAATAAAATTGGCAGTAAACAGGAAATTGCTATAGTCTGTTTCTTCTGAAACATGTCCTGTGAAAAATGTGTGTTTCCACATCTTTCTGAAAGACTTTCATGATTTTCAACAAAAATGGGTGGCTTAAGGTGGGGGTGGGGGTGGGGGGTGGGGGGAGGTGGGGTTAAATAACAATTAATACATCTTATACTTATCTGCAAAAATTACAGCTCACTAACGACCGTAACGCTGGTAAAAAAATGTGTTATATCATCTACACTGACAAACCTTTGTTTGTCTTATATGGCTATTGCTATTAATGCACACAGAGGATCTTACCACAAGAAACTGACCAATTGTTGATTGAATACGTTTACGCCAAATACATTTCATGTTACTTCGAACACGTGGTTCAAGTCAATCTATTTTCATGTCAATGGCGTGCAAAAAAATGTTCTTATGAAAAAAATGAAAACATTAGAAACTATTAAAAATATCAGGGGCGTTTTTAATTTGTTGTTTACTAGAGAGAACTATGTTTAATAAAACGTATACTTAGTTCGTGTCAAGTTCAGAACATTAGCATTTCAAAGATAAGGAAAACGAGCGGCATCTCGTATGCATTTAAATGGACAAAACATTTTTTACATAACTATACTCGTGATCACGTGTGTTGGCCAGGGAATTTCACCTGGCAATTGTATTCACCGATAGTACAATAAAGGAATTTATAAAGCTTAAAATTCCTGTAGTTTTCGTATAGTAACCCATAATGTAATTCTCATTCATCTGATTTGTCAGTTTAAGTCACATTGGTGACCCATTTGCTAATCTGACGCCAAAAAATATAGTCCCGGTTCCCATGCAAAATATTTGTCCAAAAAGATTTTTTTATTCATGACAGCAGAAAATTGAATGATAGAGAATACTTGAAAATAATTTAAACTTAAATGAATTCAAGAAAGATAGATTGAAGTACATTTCTACAGAATGATATTATAGGTTGGTGAAAACTAAAACACAACATAACTTTTCTGTTTACCATGTCTCCACGTGCTAGTCACTTCCTAGCCACATTTCCGCGAATAATTTACCTTATCTCGCTGAAGACTCGCTAGCTCTCGTCAGAGCCACTGTCAGACCTACTCTGAACTCAACGGGTTTTATAATGTTCAGAACACCGAAAAATAAAAGGTTCCGAACACAATAGTAGGGGTGTTTCGATGCAATGTTATCAATCGGAGTTACAGCCACGTGATTTCTTGATTATTTTTTTTTGCATTCACAAAGCTACCTGAGTCTACGAATCACGTGATAAATTGGAATACTAAACAGGTCACAATGAGGTCAATGACATGCAAATACCAGTATATAGCGAAGAAAACGGTCGGCGTTTTGTACCTTTTTTCAAAAAGTTTGCCCCGAGCGCAGGCTTGCCCAAAATTCTCCTTTAAATATGTTGTATTTCCAACAGTTCTACACCTTCTGTCCCTTTTGAAATTGGGGCAAGAATGCGCTCACCATGTTTTCCAGCTTTAAAGATCGGAATAACTTTAAATAACAATGGAAATTCATGAATTGCAGTGACCCCTCTTACAAAACACAGCCTCGTTTTTTATTTTTACTTACTTTTAATTCCTGTAATTTTGCAAAGTTGCCATTAAGACTTAGAAGAATTGCTTTATTAATCTCATTAGGCTACTTTCTATACTTTATTTTTGCACAATTTACCGGGGGCCACTTTTTGTACACTAAGTGCAATCATTCTTTCCGAGGATCTTTTTGATATCACGACATGTTTTGGAAAAAAGTAATGAAAGACATTGAAACAACCAGGTATTTGGAAAGAGTAATAAGCTGATCTTGAATAACAATAGCTTTGTAAGACTTTTTTTTATTACATTCATTTTATGAAAGTTACTCAGTACTCAAAATTGTAATTAATTAAACAAATAAAAATACAATTTTCTGCCTCAATTCTTTTATTGTGCAGCATTTTATTTAATCAGCAGTACAGTTAAGCTGCGCAATGGAAATATCGACAATATTTTGCAATTACAAATGTATCAATAATCGCGATGGCAATTATTTTAAGTACACTATTTTCATCGAATAATTGCAATTATGGTTAATAACTACATATCAAGGACATTTAGGTTTTATATTTAGACTAGTCACATGATGCAGCGGATTTATTTGCAGGCTCCGCCTCTTTTTTGTAACCTTAACTGTGCTGCGTCATGTTTTCTCCTATTTAATATGAACGGTAAGTACCAAAAGCAGTTTATGTTGACACATGTATTTTATTAAGATATAATATGAAAATCTTTCTTGAAGTATGTTGTTTATTATTTGATTTCATATGTTGTTTTGGAGATTTACGTCCATTTTGTAGTACCACAAAACATCCAGGAAATGTAGACGCAATACTGTACAGTACCATTGTCCTCAGCAGTATAGCTGTCTTACATTTTAATGTTTGTATTTATCTCTCTTATTGCTATAAAACCTAAATGCACTTGTTTTTATGGATTATAATGTAAACGAAAAATGCGTTTATTGTTTGCAGTAACAATCGATAATTTTATTTATTTTTTATTATTTAAAATTGCACAGTAATGTGTATTGCATTTATTCATTTATTTCCTTATAGAATATGTTAAAGGGAAGCATTTCCTAAAATAAAAAAAGGAATTTGAGTTTGAAATCCGTGTTATTTGTTTTTTCGTTCAAAAACTTTCATCAAGTTTTAAACATAGTAAAATGCTTTTAAAAAGAGGTAACTCCAACTTCAAAAACTGGAAGAATTTTCTCATCTTTTCGACGAGAGATGTAAAGAAAAGGAAAGGAAGTCTGAAAAAGGTATCAGCCAGAGTCTGGTTATGCTGACATTGAAGCTTGAAAAAACCGGATTGTCTTCAGAAATTAAAATTAATTTTCCAAAAATTACATGTTACAGATGAGGAAAATAATAGTAATAATTCATTTCCCCTTCCTTGAGTTTTTTAAAGAAAAGAATACAGGATCAGAATACCACCGAGTTAGATATCAGGATAAATTTTGTATTTTCTATTCTCGAACAAAAACACCGGCAGTCGAAACTAGTCGAATATGCATTTACGCATAAAAAATTATCAGTGATGTTAACGAATGGAAAATCCTGCTTGAATACTTAGGAAAAATACACTTTTGAGTATTTAATCAGAACAAGTTAACAAGAAAACCTTCAATACATAAGAATGTGTCCCGTGTATGATTTATTTTTAAACCGAGAAAGACTACTTGATAATAAACAGATATTGCTAATTTTGTTCCTACTTTTATGTTTAACATCGTATTACATCCAAATTTAATGCACATTAAACAACAAATTTGAATAATTTTAGTAAAAAAATTAGAATATATCTTCATACCCTAACAAAAAATACTATAGTAAACTATAATAAACTATAGTATACTGTAGTAAATCAAAGTTCCAAAGTTTTCACCATAGTTAATCAAAGTTTCAAAGTTTTCACTATGGTAAATCAAATTTTCAATGTTTTCACCATAGTAAATTAAAGTTCCAAAGTTTTTTTTACTAAAGTTTAACAAAGTTTTGAAGTTTTTTTAAAAAAAAAATACTTGAATTACTTATGAATTTGAATTTACGTTTTTGGATTATTAAATTCTTTTAATGGGTTGATCTTAGGTTGGCTGGGCTGGATTTGTGTTCATCTTAATTTATATAAAGAAATAATTAATTCAATTAAATGCAATACATAAATTTAAAGATAGAAAAAAAAAACATGTTCACTGAAGTTGATGGAATCCAACTTCTAGTGATTTAGAGGTCCTTGTTTGCTCTGCTCCTAATTTGTAATGTTTAATCGACTTTTGAATATTGTTTGTTATCTCCGTCATGAATAAAAAATATTGCCGACCATACAACTTTAATTTGACAATATATCACCTATTTTTTGTTCCTAATTAAAATATAACAATGAATGAATTTTTATTGATAGTCAGTGATTTTTTTTCTCTATTTCATTTAAAAGAGAATAAGAAAAAATAAATGACACAAATATACGAAAAGCAGTAAAAACTAAATATGGTTCGTAGTCTGTGTGCAATTATCTTAGCAAAGGTTTTCTGATAAAAAAAAAATGTGTTGTATGATGATTGTTCTTACCCAGTGGATCTCTTGTATATCCGTGTACATGGTGACATTGATCTTCGTTACAGTTACAGGTCAACTGACAATGAAAACCGTAACGAGGCCATTGAAAAGGAGAATCACAATCCATTCCAAAATAACCAGGTTTACATTCTTCAAGATAAATTGATAAAGAAAACATTCTAAATTATAATAAGAATTTGAACCTTTATTTAAAAAAAAAAATATTGTAAAAAATGAAATATTAAAAAAATACACACCCACACATTGCTTAATCGTTCTATTCCACACAAATCCAAGACAGCATTTTTCACTTTTAAACCAAGAGGAATAATTGATAAATTCTACGAATATTTTTATATTTACAATCATTCTAATTATTAAGATAAAGTGCTTATGAATACTACATGTATTTCCACAGTGTAGTTAGAAATGCTATTTGAATCATACTATCAGACAGAATTGATGGAAATGGGTATCCCTGATTACAGAGAACGTTTTCCATATTATGCACTGCTCCTTTTTTCCAAAAGAAAAATTTCTTTTCCATGATCAAAACATGCTTGTAAGAAAATGTTGATACAATGCTTTAAAATTATTAAAAATACGAAAAGATATTCATATGAATATACATGTTAGACTATACAACACATTTAATTAATTGTCTGTGATATACAAAAAGTGTAAAAAAAAATGTTTGAAGACTGGTTACACGTAAAAGCCCAGCATGCAATGGAATATTTGTTTTACAATTATCTATTTATTTATAATTAATTTATGATTATAAATAAAAGCCTTACCCAGAACACAACTTTGGAAAGCAGGACACAATAGAAAAAGACAAAATACACAGAACATACATGTACATAAAATAAACCAGCACCATTATGTCTAAACTGATTACTTTAATAAATATAATTTTTTTATTTCCTCAATCACATTAAAACCAAAATCGGATTTGTGAATCTTCCTGAATGTATTATTAAGAAGTAGAACTGAGGTTTAGATTTGGTGTTGTTTTCCAAAGAGCTTAAATATGAATATACATTTCTAAACACCTAAGGTAGATAAAGTCATTCGAGCCAACAACTTTCCTGTTACATATACAATACCTCTTTGAAGCCATGTTTAATGAAACTGATCTAAGTCTGCATTCAAACACATTTCATTCATTGAAATATGGTCGCACGCTTGGCGCAGGGGATGCTCACTCCTCCATGCTACCTGATTACACCTCTGAAACTTTTGAGGTCTGTGTTTGCTCCTTCTATTTTGTATTGTGTTACGAAATTTTGATTTTGAATACTCTTTGTTATCTTAATAGTTTCATTGTATAGATATTTGTTTGTTTGTTTGTTGTTTAACATCCCTCTAGGATTTCTAAAACTCATATATGGATAGACCATCACTTGCCAGCAGAGAGCAAATTTTGACATTTGTTTGGTACTTAAGGACAGTGAGGGATAATTTTCCTACCAGCAATTAAGCACCGACAAACGGAAACTCGGTTTATACGGTCTCATCCGAGGGATTGTTCTCTTCGTCCCACAATTTGATTTGTATCTGCAGAGAAAGGATAAGCTACCTACCATGTCTGTCTGGTGCAGACCCTGTTACAACTGCTCCACGTAGATGGCTAAATTGTGAAGAATGAATCGTAGATAAGCAACTTTATAAACAAAGGTAGAATATTAATGTGTCAAAATTAGTTAGGGGTCTCCTTCATTTCATGAAATAATTAATGCTATCAAAATTATTTTTTAGTATTCTATGCATTGTACAATTACATATTAAGTGACTTAATATAGTATAAAACTAATAATGGTTTCTTGCAAACATGAAGAATCACAAACAACATACCTGTATCTTCAGCATAGGGAATTAATGTCTCCCAGTTGTTTTGATATACAAAACGTACTCTACGTTATTACATTTTTCTTAAAAAGCAAGCTGATGAAAATAACCAATATCAAGAATTTCATTTAAAGTCAACAATTCACAAATTCTAAAATTTATAGTAACCCTGATTATATCAGTGAAACATTTGGAGATAACGAACATCATGATTAAAATTCCATAAAACAATACAAAATAGGAGCAGAGCAAACACAGACCTCCAAAACATAAGAAGTCGGATCAGGTGTCATAGAGGAATGAGTATCTCCTGCCGACCAGCAAATAAAAAAAATATCAATGTTTTGGTTGAATGACAGTTTTAGATAAAAGGTTATGTTATATCATTTATTTTCACACTGCAATGAGTTTTTCTTTATAACCGATCATGACAAGGAATATACGAAGCCGTTATGACCGAAACATAACGTCCTTCGTGGCACCTGCTCCTCATGTTATATTTTTGAGTTCAATGTTTTGTCTGCTTCAAAAATATAGTTAATTGTGAAATATACTTTCATATCCTCTTTCTTTTTCATTAGCTGGGGTAATTAATTCAGTAATGCTTGCAAAACACTCATCTAAAGTATGAAAACAGCATACTGAAAAAAAAATTGATCACAAAGAATACATTAAATGGTTACATCACCCCAGCCTTTGACTGTTCAGAGCTACTTTGACAACACAAGGACCTTTAGGGACAGAACATTTATGAGCATTTTATAGCATAATTATTTCTCCTGTCATCCGAAGAATACATTTCAAAGTTTAAGAATTAAGTAATCAATCAAAATATGTTTTAAAAGAAAGCAAGACAAGGAAAAGCAACTCAGTCAAGAAAATTACCTTTGCAATCAGTAAGAACTTTCCATTTTTTCTTATCTTAGAGTAGAAATGCTTCTTCGATACGCAAATCAATGAAAGTGACGTTGTCAATGATTTTGATTTTTAAGTCCGGCACAAATGATATATGTTAATTCAAACTGACAATGACATTCCAGTGTTTTATTTTTATATTTTCATTTCACTATATTGACTAGCTTAAGCATTAGCAATATAAAGCATAAAGTATATTGCCATGGGTCTCCATTTATCAAATATTTCTTCATCTGACCAGAACTGATTCTAAAATATATTCCATTCTCATATCTAAGGTAAACAGAGACCTATATACTAACGGGATAGACAACTCCTTCATCTCCATGTTTATTTACCCAAAACATCACGCACAACACTGCAAGTTTTTCAAACTACATTTACTCGCAGAAGAAAAGCCTTTTTAAAATGAATATCTAATTATTTAATGTATTAAAATGTATTTTAAATATTTTTTAAAGCATATATCATGATATAATTGAAATATAAAAGAAAACAAACATCGAGATTGGCGATTTCTCAGAAATATACGGCTGATCAGGGCGTGTGCTGATTTCGAAATGAATGTTATTATTACTAAAATATGGAGTATGATCAGTGCTGAAACAAATCTTGAATAATTTTAGATAGATAGATATCAAATATTTGATAGTATTAAAGATATAATTAATTAAAATTGACTTACAAAATCCTGCATCTTCCATGATTTCGCGAGGCTCGCGAGAGTTGCCTATCACTTTAGGATATAGGTCTCTAATTTGAAGTAAAAATGAACTTTTTCCTCTTACATGTGCAACATGTTTGAGATATTGAAGTATGCATCAACATATTTGTTTGGCACAAAATTATTGACTTGCTTTTCAGAGATTCAATAGTTAGTTTTTGAATTTTCTCTTAATTCATTGATCTATCTCTTCCAATAAGCGGATAAGAGTTATTCATTGTACTTAAAAATCTCTTATCTAGTTTCATGTATTAGTATGGTGGTACATTTATGCCATCTTGATAATTTTTTTGTTAACGAAGCATATCATGCTAAGTCTAAAAAACTATCTCGTCAAGACATGATAACTTTCTTGTTTGTCGACCAACATCAACTTTATATCTTATCTAAGGTTGGCATATTTATGCCATCCAAATAATTTTTGTCAACATAAAATATTATGTCAAGTAAAGATAACTATCTTGTCAAGTTATCATAACTTTCTGGTATGTCGACAAACACCGACATGATATCTTGTCCAGTCAAGATAAGCTATCACATTTTGTTGCCATAGCTATCCTGACCTGACAGCACGATAACTTCTAGTCACGATGCAAGATAAATTATCTCTTTTTTGTCGAGACAGCTGTCGAAAAAATACGATAGATTTTCTTGACTGTACAAGATAAAAGTCAGTGTATGACGACAAACCTGAAAGTTATCATGACTTGACGAGATAGTTATCGTAACTTGACATGATATGCTATGTTGACAAAAAAGTATATGGATGGCATAAATATGCCGCCATACTTATCCAAGAAAGATAAACATTCGTATTTTTGCGATAGCTATTTCATTCATGATGCAAGATAAGTTATCTCGTCATATCAAGATAGCTATGGCAACAAATGTGATATCTTATCTTGACTGGACAAGATATAAATTCGATATTTGTCGACAAATAATAAAGTTATCATGACTTGACGAGATAGTTATCTTGACTTGGCATGATATGCTACATGTATATTTACAAAAAAAATATGTGGATGGCATAAATATTTGGGATATTACCTTCGAGAGTTTCATTCATCAATTTTGCTTTGTCAGAAGTATTTCCTGTGCTTGAAATCACTGTAGTGCGGCATACAGAGAAGAGATCTGAAATAATAATGATTAGATTTCGATAAAAACAGATGAGACAAGGATGATGTACTACTTTAAACTGGATAAAACAAAATTAGCTACACTCTTTGTACCGTGACCATAGTTATATTATATACATTTATATACTTTTCAAGTGCTACTATTACTAAAGTGGGACCCACTCAATTAGAGCTTTGCGTGTAACATATACGCCATGCAATCTGTCGTTTGAGCTAAAACTTGAAATGAAATTGAACACTGAATTTTTCACAACTCTATATGTTATACACAACCGAATGTTGTTCTGCTTGTAGAAACTGCCTTCGTCGTTCCGAATTCTTCCTGAAATGTTTCTGAAAAGAAGAAATTGAATGGAGTATTTTTAAAATTATGAATCTTAATTGAACAACTTAACAAAAACGTCAGCAATTGTTAATTCATACGAATATTTCCTCCGAACTTTATTAAAATACGATTCAATCACTTATTTTTGGTAGGTTCTTTAAATCATCACTCAGAAATAACTACACTCTAATAAAACAAAGTTATTTTTAATATTCCATGTTTTCTAAGTTTTTCGTCATCGATAAAAAAGAAATTTAAAGAATCGTAGAAATTTATAATTATAGATAGCCTTAAAAAGAACATGATTTTTTTTTACAATAATTGTACCTGAACATCCCAGAATGTGATGACAATGCTGTTCCACACAGTCACATTCCCTCTGACAACTTTTTCCAAATCCCGGATATCGACAGGGTAAATGACAATAGTCACCAAAAAATCCTATATCACATTCTTTAATATAAATATTCTAAATTATCCAATATCAATTGACTAGAATATTAAAAACCTATTCATTATAAAAGTGACTTCAATATATGAGATTGTATCGTGATAATTCAGTCTATATACAATTTAAAGATGTATATTTGCTGGAAAAGAATTTTAAAAATATTTTTGATGGATAAGTACTCTTAATAGATTTCTGAGATATATCTAGGTTTTTGTTATTACAGAATCAATTCAAACATTATTTTTTTGAGATACGTTTGAATTCTATAACTTTCAACAATTTATTGAAAAAAAATACTTTCAAAGTACTAAGTCCTGAAAAGAAAACGGTTTTATAAATTGTACTTACCGGTGCATATCTTGAGCATGTCATTCCAAACCTTGCAACAATCCGTAGGACCACTAACAGAAAAAAAACCGAATAGTAGTATTTAAATCTTTTTTCTTCACCGTAGGAAAATCATGAGAGAGAGAGAGAGAGAGAGAGAGAGAGAGAGAGAGAGAGAGAGAGAGAGAGAGAGAGAGAGAGAGAGAGAGAGAGAGAGAGAGAGAGAGAGAGAGAGAGAGAGAGCTTATACTGTGTTTTTCACTCGATGCAATTGATGTAATTATCAATTCATAGATTGTACAGAAACAAACGGTCAATTGACTCATAATGCTAAGTTATCATTAATGGCATGCAGGTTTATATCTATCTTCAACAGAAATTGCAATGATCAAAAGAGTAAAAAAAGTGACATTTATATGATACATCGCATGCAATCAATACACCATTCAATTAATTGATTCGAATTGAAGAACTTTCTTAATTGAAAATAATTAAATATATAAACACATTTGAATGACATTTAACTTTTTAGCTCACCTGAGCCGAAGGCTCAAGTGAAATTTTCTGATCAAAATTTGACCGTTATCTGTTGTCGTCGTTGTCATTGTTGTCGTAGTCAATTTTTCACATTGTCATCTTCTTCTCAAGAACCACTGGGCCAATTTCAACCAAACTTGGCAAAAGTGTCCTTGAGTGAAGGTAATTCAATTTTCTTCAAATGAAGGACCACGCCCTTATCCAAGGGGAGATAATTAAGAAGCAGTGAAATTTGATGGTATGTTTTAAAAATCTTCTCAAGATCCACTGTGCCAGGAAAAATGAAACTTATAAGGAAGCTTTCTCAGGTAAGGTAGATTCACGAACGTTCAAATCATGACCCCCGGGGTAGGGCAGTGCCACAATGGCCGATCAAAGTTTTACATAGAAATATATAAGAAAATTCTTTAAAAAAAATCTTCTCAAGGCATGAATGATCATATTTTTATGGATCCATCCACAGGTATTGTAGATTCAGGTTTCTTTAAATCATTACCCCTGAGGATAGGGCGGGGCCACAATAGCCGATCAATGTTTTACATTGAAAGGAAGTACATATGTACATATATAGGGAAATTCTTTAAAAATCTTCTTCTCAAGAATAGCAAAGCCATAATTCATCATATTTATATGAAAGCATGTTCAAGGTAGTGTAGATTCAAGTTTGTTCAAATCACATCCCCTGGGGGTAGGGCGGGGCCACAACATGGAATCTAAGTTTTGCATACATGTAGAAATATGTAGAAAAAATCTTTAAAAGTCTTCTTTTAAAGAATGACAAAGCCATGATCAGTCATATTCAAATGGAAACATTCTCAGGTAGTGTAGATTCACTTTTGTTCAAGTCATGACCCCTGGGGGTAGTGCAGGACCACATTGTTTAAATGTAAAGGGGAATAAATCCACAGGTAGTCAAAGAAATATGCAAGCATCCTTAATTAGTTTAGATTCAAGTTTGTTTAAGGATTGGCTGGGACCACTTTTGGGATCAAATTTTACAAGTTTCAAATAAACTGATTTCTGCGCTTTTTTCCTAGCTACATTGCTCAGGTGAGCTATGTGGCCCATGGGCCTCTTGTTAATGAAAATTTTCTGTTTCCTGACGACAGCTGAACACTTTCTTGTGTGCATATCCTCAAATAGAAACAATACTTTCTGAGTTCTAAATGATTAATAAGCATAAGTGAATTTACACTAATTTGAAGACCTTGCATGAATTTCAAGTGTATCATTATTATGCGGATTAATATTTCCAAATTTTCTACCGAGTTTTTTTTTTGTTGAAGAATTAAGCCAATTTATCTGAAATATATTTGGCACATAATCCTAGTTTGACTGTGATAAATGTATAACCTTGTCTGCATTCGCAAGATTACTGAGAGAGATAAAAATCAATCAGATTGAAGTTTTGATTTCAAAATGGATTTCTATCATTAAACAAAGTTCGACAATCATTGATTAAAAAAAAAAAACAAACCATTGATTAGTTTTTTTTTTCCAATTCATTTGATCTTTTAAGTTCACTGTTTAGGGAATTCAAAAAACAAAAATGTCATCTTTTTTTAGAGAACGACTCAGGGTTTTCTTTTACCAAGGAAGGAAACTACATAATTATGTGGGTGATAATATTATTTTGCTGCATAAATGAGGTAGGTCGGACATAGAAAATGCATTTCATAACGTTCATCAGAAAGGTTTTGCAAGGTTTTGGAGTACCTGCATGTATAGTCAGAATGCTATAACTAAATAACTATGCAAATGACCAATAACCAGGTAAGTAACACCCACTTAACACCATCTGTTTATGATATCACAATTATGGACGTGCTTAAATATATCGTGGGAAATTATTGTATAAAGTGTTGAAAAGTCTTTTTTTTTTAACATTTCCTTAAGCTTTCAAGTATCCACATTTTAATTACACTTCTCAAATGATTTATTTTATACTACACCTGAAGTTTTTCCTTAACGGCTGTTAATATTCCTGTATGGAGTACAGAAAGAGGCATAGAAGAGGACTAGCTAGAACCTGTTTTTTATTTTCATTTTTCGTGTTTCATTTATGCATGCCTTACAAAACTAATTCTAACATACATTGGACTTCAGTAAACAAGGAAACGCTACATAGACAGATGTTTTACAGGATACAAATGAAACATGTACAAAGAGGTTGTAATCAAATATCTTCAATATGAAAATATTGAATTATTTCTGTGTTCTTTAGTATACGATTATAATACATTCTAAAATATATACAAACTCTAGAAAGGAAAGTCATCATACAATTTAATCAAATTTAAGAAGGTTCTTATACTATCATTTACTGATTTTTCCTTTACAAAAAGCACATTAAATCATAAACTACTTTGACGTATAATGACTGGAATGTGGCAGAAGAGTTAGTGTCATAACTAAGTATTAGAAATGTTTCAAGTTGACCAAGGAAGGCGCATGCTTCAACAATGAAAATCTAACTGCAAGTACTTCACTAGTGAACATTGTTAAAATCCTAATATTCATCAATGCTAATGATCCTTCTTTCATTTTTTTTTTAAATTAATGCTGCCAAAATGATTTAGAAAATCAAATTGTGTATCCATCGGTTTTGCTCAGACATTGATTTTTCATAACATTTGAATGCTTCCTCAAGGCAAAGGAAACATACAAGAGTAGATGAATACGCGTGGTCTTGTGAACAGAACACTGTAAATATAGGAAAAACTCATATCTATTCACGATATATTGGAAATTTAATACCATATGTTATGGCAAATGAATACATAAAAGGAAACAGGAATATTCCTGTTTAATCGTGACTATAAATTGTTGTAAGGACATTAAATCGGCAAAATTTTGAACTTCAATACATAAAGAGGAATCGTTTCTATTGTTTTCCCGTTTTTGTGTGAAAGTAATGTATTGCCGGTCTTTCATTTATTATATGAACATTTTATTTCTACATTATGAGTCTTCCAACTTTCAGTTATGTGATGGGTAATGTATTTATAAATCATTTTTCATCTTATTCATGTAGCAAAACTGGTTAATTTCTGACAGCATTTTGTATAATTATTCAAAACTGTAGAAGTACTTTTTTCTTTGTGGTATTAATTTATGTTATATACGCAATTAAAAATTTTCCCCGGAAATTGTCCCATTGTACTCAATATACATGTAAGATATATATATAGTGCGAAAATAGGAAATCTGCATAATTTTTTACCCGCGGATTAAACATAAATAGATATTTTGCGGAATTACTACCCTGTTGAAAAAGTTTACTGTAGTCTACTGTATCTATGATAAATAAATGATAATTACATTTAAATGATACCATGTGTTAAAAAAAACACACACAAAATGCTTAAAGTCATTTTATTGTACACAACAACACCAATTACATTTAAGAACTTTAAATGCACATTCTATAAAATTTAGAAAATATTCAAGTAGAAGCTGCCCGAATAATAACAGGACTCAGGAAAAATTCATCTAGAAATGCTTTGTATTTAGAATTAGTTTGGGAACTATTAAATAAGAGAAGGGAAAGACAAAAACTCTTGTTGTTCTATATCCCCTCTTTATTTACAAGAAATGGTCACACCTTTTATGCCACCAAATCATGATAACAATCTTAGAAATATTGATAATTTTAATTTTGTTATACCTCAAGCAAGGACAGTCTCATATTTCAACAGTTTTTTGCCTCCATTATTAGATTATGGAACAATTTACCACTTGAAACAAAATGTATTGAATCTTTTTCAAGTTTAAAAATGTCTTAAAGAAACCTGCTGTAGGTAGAATAAAGGATATCAAAATCTTTCATTATGGCAACCGCAAGGAAAACATTATACATTGTCAATTAAGAAATGAATCTAGTAATTTAAATGCTCACCTGTATAATCAATACTTAAGTGAAATAGCATCTTGTACTAAGTGTGGATATCTGAACGGGGATAACTATCATTTTTTCTTCAGATGTCCTGCCTATTATAATCAGAGAATGATACTTTTTGAAAGTCTTCAGAGATTAATAGAATTAGAAACAATGTCTCCTGATCAAATTTTGAATATTTTGCTAATTGGTGATAGGCAACTACCTTATAAAATTAACTGTTCAATGTTTGAAGCAGTCCAACTGTACATCAAGTCTTCAAAAAAAATTTGATAGTATTTTGTCATTACATAAAAAATAAATCCCAATATTTCTTATTTTTTTCTACTTATTTTAAGTCTCAGCATTTCCATTTTCCATGTATATGTTGTATCTTCCTTGGTAATTTGTCTTTGCACTTTATTATTTTTCTCTTAACTCAGTGTCATTCCTTTAAATTATTTACTTTTAAATGTTACTATTTCCTTCTATTTTGTATTTTTTTAAAATATTAGTTCTTTGCACTTTACTTTTCTGTTTTGCTGTTTTGTTTGCACTTCTTTCTCAAATTCATTATATTGTATAGCGAATATGCATCAGCTTAGTTATAATTCCTCTGTATAATTTAATTCAATTTATTTCCCTTTTCCCACCGTGAGTTAACAAAAGAATTTAATGTAACTTATAAGGAATATTTTCATCGTTGTAATTTTTTGCCAGTTCTAAACATTTGTAACCTTGACCTTGGAGAGGACTTATATAGGCCATGCCTGATGTCCAATCCAATTATGTCATTTTACTTTACATAATAAAATATTGATTAAATTAAAAAAAAAATTCTATAAATTAATGTGTCTGTGTTCAATGTTATGTATGGAATGATATAGAGATAACGAACAATATTCAATCTCAAAGTCCATAAAACAATTCAAAATAAGAGCAGAGCAAACATGGACCCCTGAAACATCAGAGGTGGGATCAGGTGCCATGGAGGAGTGAGCATCCCCTGCCGATCGGTCACACCTGCCGTGTGCTCCTTGTCATGATCAGGAAATAACGGAAAAAATCCGTCGTCAATTCAGTGTATAAATAATGGACTAACAATTGGTATGAAAAACGTCAGTCAGCATTTGACTCAATGATAAATTGTATTTGCTGACAAGGTCATTGTATCAACCATAGAATTTACGAAATTATGATTTTAAACGAGATTGCTAATATTCTTGTTATGTTTAAATAATATTAAAAATCTAGAATATTGCAATTACAAGGACGGTGAACTGCAGTACATGAAGTTATGGGAAAACAACAAATGAAAGAAAAAATAAGGTTACATTTGTTGATTTATTCAAATGCCTGTGTACAGCCAGGAAAGGACAGCTTATCAAGAATTAGAGTCGACACCAGCACAGGATTACATAGCAAACTTGCCAACATTGTGAAACAGAGTAAAAGTGTGTATTCCCCCTTGGTTGCTACGACAAGCTCGGATTCTGCATGGCATACAGTACATTTATTGCCTCCCTCCACCATTACATAACAACATCATATCAATAATGTCAAAGGTCGTAACGTCGGCGCCAAATCCTCCTGTGTCTGTCTTGGAAATCCACAGTGAATCTCGTCTCATCTGAGAACATAGGTGATTTTCCCAGCGTAGACTGTGGTCCTAATGTGACCAAACCTCAAACAGGGAATGGAACGAGGACCTCGGGCTTGTAAGTGAAATCTGTACAGTCGATTCATGATGGTCTGGCCACGAACTACCAAGCCAGTATCTGTTTGAAGTAGGGACTTTATCTTATTTGATCTGTATGAGACTTGGTCGACAGAATCTGGTTCTATCCCAAACAGCCCGTGTTGTTCGATGTCTGGACATAATCTGCTAACAACAGACTGGGAAACATTCATTGCCCTTGCCACCGCCACCTGCCAACCTGAAATGTTAATCCTCATCCTTTGTCTCTGTTAATTAACGACTTCAACAATTGTTAAACTAGGTACTTTCTCCTCAGAATCTTTCTTTAAAGTGTCTTTAACCTTCCAATTCAGAGGCATGCAAATTTGTGACACAACACCCTTGATCATCACTAACGCTCCGTGCAGATTGTGAGAGCGTGATTGATATGTTTTGGTGATGAGTTTATTTGGAAATGTATCCCTTTGTTTATGTGAACATTTTGATCACTATGTACAGTATCCCCTACGTTTTTCAGTATTATTACACTGCATGTATCTCCGACTGATTAAAACAGAAAATGTTATCATGAGATAAAATTTGTAAAAATATTTAATTAAATAGCATAAAACAAATTCTAGTTGAGAAAGTTTATATGTAAATATATAAAGAGCTCACCATATATCTTTTAATACAACGCTTTACGTATCAATATACTCCAATATAATGGTTTATTTTTTCTAGTAACAATTTGAAGACTGTTCTTATTATTTCTAATTTTTTTTTAAAAATCTTAACATGCTTAAGGAAGTATGCTTTAAATAGCAGTACATTGTGCAAAAAGGGATTTCAGTATTAAATTAAAAAAAAAAGGTATTCAATCTGAGAGTTATTCAAAGATGAATTTCAAGAATGTATACAAAACTTTTTATAGGGACCGATGCTGTAATGGTTTTATATGGAACGACACATTGAATGCATGCATAAGTAAGTATATCTGAAACAAAATGTGTCAAATCAAAATGTTAGCGTTAAAATAAAAAAATATAACCTTCTTTTTTCCCTGTATTTAAAATAGAGTGCAAAAATGAGTTTATCAGATCTTAGTATTACAAAACATTGTAGAATGCAGGGATGGTTATTATGGGATTCACTGCAATATTCCTTGTCGCCCACCGACGTTTGGATGGGATTGTCTTTCAATATGCAGTTGTAAAGAAGAGGAATGTCATAATGTGTATGGATGCAGATTTCCATCTGGTAAAATGGCATTTGATTAGATTTTGCGTTTTTATGGTATGAATGAAGATTTATGTAGTAACATTTATTTGTAGTACATTCAAATGTGTTACTGCCATGCAAAATGGATATCAATCGACTTTATGTTATTCAAAAGTTTTTCTGCAGTCTCTGCAATATGAAAAACACCTTTGTGTACTTCCATGTGTAACTAAATAATCAGAAAACTTCAATATATAATGCGTAATGCAACATTAACTGGACTGGCTTTGATTTCCTGTACCTTAATTGGAGGCATTTTTGTCATATGTGTTCAGTTTGAATGGTAGACAACGTACAGAATCCTTAATGTTTAAATATATTTTTATATATCAGTTTCATCCTCAACTTCCCCTTGATTTTGCACTCTGAGTTCATATAGCATTTTGTGAACCATTAAACTTTAAGCAAACGGATGAGAAATTGTGGTATGAAAAATGGAGACAATGAACAGTATCAAGCTCAAAAGTCATACAATACAAATCCAGTAGAACAAACACAGACCTGTAAAATTCCAGGTGGGGTCAGGTGCCAACCAATTGTAGCGTTTTATCCGCGCCTTATGATGTTTTTTATATTATTGTATTACGGAAAATTTTATAGCCATATTCAGCATATCATTTGGTCGCATTATGTCTGGCATGTTTCCAATTTCCAACCATTTGTAGCTCTATTGATGGTTATATTATTGTGTAACGAATTTTGTTTTGTTAAGAATGTTACTTAAAGGTACTGTATTGACAATAAAAAGGACCTGTATATTGAATTATTATTTTTTTTTGTTAAAGCCACACAAATGGATATTTCTGAGAACAGAAGAAATTCAACTGTTAAAATCAATCCTTTCAGTAAAATTTCGTCGAAAATATTGACCGAAGGTAAACCCTAAGTTCTTTTTATTCATTTTTGTATCTTCATTTTTAAGCTTATCCCTACAAAAATCCATTTTTACCTTATACTAAACATTCTCTTAAATTCATATCGCAAAAAAAGCCGATTTTTCTTAACGATATATCTTAACCTTAAGCAGAGAAAAACAGATAAAAACCAACAAACACTTATCGTAAACATAAAATAAGTATATGTAACAAATATCAATACACGTGCATGATTTATTTCTCTGTTCAGGACATTCAATGGAAATAAAATCCTCTCAGGAAATACATATATAATCAAATATGTTATGAAGTACCTTTCTCTCATTAATTACCCGGATTTTAGTATATGGCATACTTATAGTTTAAAAGTGACGAAAGTAGAGTTTTAAGACGTTATATAAATGATTTTAGAAACAAGCAAACTCTTTATTATGAAAAATGCGCAAATGGTTTGTTATTGTCATTTTTTGTATTGAATTTCTGATATGGTCATCTTATGCATTTATCCCATGCTTAGCAGAGGAAGTATCTACCAGGTAATAGTATATTTTTTTATATATATGAAGATCAATTTAATATTTTTGTGTCATTTACAAAAAAGAATTTTCCTCTCTCGTGCAATGTTAACATATTTTAACATATAATCATTGTTCTAATTAGTCTTCAAACTTTAAGCAATGATGAAGTGTGTAAAGTGTGGGACCAAGCACAGGACAGGTGTTTAGGTAAGGCCTGAATATTTGTTCTCATTATTTTTTTAAATTTATATCAATTTTCACATTCTATCTTGAGTTAATAGGACTTTTCTTGTAGAACCATATTTTTTTCATAAAAAAAGTGCCATACGAGTACATGTATAAAAGTAAATTTCAATCAATACTTACGAGGGTTGTTCGAAAAGTTCTTGGACTGGTGCGATAAAATTTATACTATGTAATCTATGCTTACAAACTTTTTCAGGACCACAAAACAACAAAAGTAAAGGAATGTTGAAAATTTTAGCTTGATACCTTGAATATTTATCACATTATAGTAAATTAAAATTAAAATTGACATTATATGATCATCTGGCGCTGTCTCCATTTAGTTTCATGACGTCATTGTTTCTCAAGTTCAGCATTTCTACTTCATACATTTACCTTGAAGAGATTACTTGGACTCAAGTAAAGACTTAAACTTGTCTTGTTTATATGATTTTACGTTGACATAGACAACTCATTTCAATGCACATAAAATTATAAATAGATCTATTCATAGTGAAAGATCCTCACTTGATTATAACAGCTTATTTACTTGTTGAACTACTAAATCCATCGAACATGATCAGCTTCACTTTTCTACTTGACAAGCTTTAAATACCTTTAGTACAAATTTGCATTAACATTTACATCTCTTGTCTCTTTAATCTTTATAGGTATGTTATTTTTCAGTAGCCCTTTTAAATATTTTCTAGATATATGCCAGTTTTTCTAGTGTGTGAAGCTTTACAGAATGTTGGAAAAAGAGACTCATCCCCTTTCTGACGTCATTACAATCTTTTAATTGTTTTGAAAATTCATATAAAATTTACGATAAAATTTTAGAAAAATTACAAAATGAGGTAAAAATTGCAAATTTTACGGTACCATTGTGTTATGCAACATGAGTGAATTAAGTGGATTTTTGGATGACAGATGCTCAAAGAAAAAAATATCAGTTACACGTACGTAGACAAAAACCATCGTAATGTTCGAGGTTGCGCTACCTGGATATACCATTGTTTTCTAAAACATCAACAATTAACATGTTTTAAAAAATAAACCTAATGATGTATATTTAATTATGTAATGAAAATGATGCACATTTAAAGTTAAAAAATTTATTGATGTATGTTACATGCAAGAGGTTTTTATTTTCTGGCTCTAGCCTACGAACTTTTCGAACAACCCTCGTAAGTTTATTTATTAAAAAATCCCCCAACGAATTTTCTATTCACACTTGTTCAAGTTATTTGGCATTATTTTATGGCTTTTTGATCTTGAGATCTGATTGTTATCTCCATATATTTATTTTAATTAAATGAATAAATTACAATTTGAACCTCCCACATCAAGACTAATTAAATTGTGGTTTAGGACAGAATTGCCTACCTGTTTTATTTGCAAACTAAATTTTACATATGTTCATTGCGTCAATTTTCGAATTTACCATAGTTTTTGATAACACACTTATGTGAAATTAAAGCATTGAAGAAAAAATACCTTATAAAGTTCTTAAATAAACATTTTTCTCCTTCCAAGATACAGAGAGTGACACGTTTACAAATCGATTTTTTGGTTCTACTTGATTTTTTTTTAATGAATCATATAAGTAATTTATGTAATAATTTGAAAGAGAAAAATATAATGTTTGATGAAAAAAGTTGTAACTAAGAAAATCAATCAGGAAAGTTAAATTATTCCCATGAAGAGTAAAACATAATATAACATAATATTTTTCATATTCTTCTGTTAATTATTTTCGAACAGAAAGAACAATGACATTCTTGTTGAAAGTATAGAAACAATTATAATCACTGTTTGAAAATCTATTTCGTATGTGGAATGGATTTACAATTATAAAGACTATTTGATTTGCCTTTTTGATCAGAATGTAAAGATGGATTTCAAGATTTAGATGAGAACTGTCGTCGACCTTGTCGCTATCCTAGCTATGGGAAGGATTGTCAGAGCCATTGCAACTGTGCAGAACTAAACTGCGATTTCAAAAGGGGGTGTGAAGGCATGTACATTGATTTAAATGTTGAGCAATGTACAGTATAAATTGCGAAATCCGGTTACATAGAAATTGGAAAGATTCGATAACACCCCTTCTAGGCAAAGGATTTAAGGAATTGAATTTAGCAAAAAAGATTTTTAAGATACATTTGTAACACCATTTAAATGAGCATTCCGAATACAAACCACATGGTTAAGGCAATTTACTGTAAAATAAGTTGTATTTGCTTTGGAAATAGACCTCATTATAACTGTCATCCTATCTTTTGAATATTTGTATTTTTCAGATGGGTCTGCGACAATTTCACCCATGATTCCAAGTACTTCAACCACATCTCTTCCTGGATATACAATGCCCGTATTGTCTAAAGGTTAATTATAAACCCATGCTGGATATTAATGAAATTTTCGTCTATGTATTAGCCACATAAGATTGATAAAAATGCTTTAATTGGTAATGAATTGTCACATCTTCACTCACAGAGTTTAATCTGCAAAATTCATAATATCTCGTCTGTTACCTGCAGCTGGAGCGCACTGGAAGCATTTTAAACATTGAACGCGCTGTCATTTATCAATAGTCTTTTTCTATAACGTCTTTACACATAAAGTACGTAATTGGGTATGTACTCCAAGGCCAAAAAATTATATAAATTTATTTTAGACACTCTAGACAATCAAGTCATTCTGGCATTTCATCCCACACTTGCCCCTTGCCACAACTGTCTTGTTAAAGGTAAAGAGAAGCCATTTGAAAGAGAGATTTGTTTTGATCAATCTGTTATAAACAGGGAGCATCGTAAATAAAAGTCATCATAAGATCACAGCAGAAATTCATCTTAAAATAAAAAAGAGAAGTTCACAACATATTTGGTTTTTAGGGTGTAAACCGGGGTATTTAGGTAACAAATGCGAATCTCCATGCAGATACCCAAGTTACGGCATCGATTGTCAATTGGAATGTAAATGTAGTGGACCTGAAAAATGTGATCATGTTAAAGGATGTGTAGGTAAAATATAATTTGTATATATTAAATATAACACACTATACACCTATCATTATATTCAGGTACTTTTACAGAAAGTACGAATTTATTCTTATTATCATTGTCCTTTCATCTCATTCTCTTTCTTCTTTTTCTAAATAATCTTACATTTTAAACAGTAACTAATTCATCTTTATAAACCTAATAGCTTGTTTCCTGTAGATGTCCAATAAGTTTTCAGTTTTTGAGGTCTTATCAGAGAGACAAACAACGTTTAACTCAAATTTATATGCGCTTGGTTAAGGGAATTTTGCGCTTATTTTTATTGATTTAGGTCAGTCGCGTTCGAGATGGAGTGTACGACCTTGGTATCATGGAGAAAGCTTTTTATTACCATTTGAGTAACCGTGAGAATTGCATCAAAACAAGAAATCACTTGATTTGGCCTGTAAGAAGACATATATATTGACGATGCTTTATTGATTAAAAGCGTTTTAATTCCTATCTTGATTCTTTAATAATTTAACTCAATAAATCCGCCACTGGTTATTAAAATAAATAAAATGGGTAAAATTTCCGAGGATCTATCTCCTATAACATGTTTTAGAAATGGGAATGAAAGATATTGAAACAACGAGGTACAGTGTATTTGGAAAGAGTAATAAGCTAAATTACAATAACATCTGTATTGGAAGACTTTTTTGTCCCCCGCTTTTGCGATAGTAAGGGGACATTTAATCTCATTTGTCTGTCCGTCTGTCAGTCTGTCCGTCCTTAACAAAACTTTAACCTTGTCTATAACTTTTGATCTAGCAAAAATATGGCTTTCATATTTCACATATGTATTCCTTTTGACCAAATCTTTCTTCGATTACCACAAAATTTGACCTTTAGACCCTGACCTTGCAGTTTGACCCCCTTTTACACAAAAATTTTAAACTTTTACTTTGACCATAACTTTTGAACGGTAGATACTAGGACTTTCATATTTCAAATATGTATTTTGTGGCAAGACCTTTCAATGGATACGAACAACTTTGACCTTTTGATCTTGACCTTGAAGATTTTTGTACTTATGAAAAAGTTTAAATCTGGGACATAACTTTTGAACGGTAAGGGCAAGGGTTTTCATTTCAGATTTTTACGTATTTAATATTTTTTAAAAGGACCTTTCATTTGATATCAAGAACTTTGACGTTTCCAAATTGGACTTGAGTTTGACGTATTTTTTTCAAAACTTTAACTTTGGTCATAACTTTTGAACGGTAGATACAAAGACTTTCATATTTTACACATACATTCTTTGTGGCAAGATCTTTCTTTTTATACAAATCCTGGTCATGGTAGCCTAGTGGAAGAGTGTTCGCTTCGTAATCAGGAGGCCCGGGTTCGATTCCCATTCGCGGCGCCGCGTCAAACCTAAGACGTAAACATAGGTAGTTACTGTTCCTTCGCCAAGCTCTCGGCACTAGAAGTGAAAGTCACGGGTCTTTCGGATATGACCTTAAAAACCGAAAGTTCCGTGTCACAGTAGGCGCTGGCACAATAAAGAACTCTCACTGCTCAATGGCCCTGAGTGCAGAGTCTGGGTCTAAATTTGAAGCTCTTCACTGGCATACGGTGACGTCTCTGTACGAGTGAATAATTCTCGAATGGACGTTAAATGATATACAATCAATCAATCATTGATGCCAACAACTTTGACCTTTTGATCTTGACCTTGGAGATTTCCGCACTTATGAAAACTTTAATCTTGGTCATAAATTTTGAACGGTAAGGCTTAGAGCTTTCATACTTCACTTGTGTAATTTTTGTCACGGGACCTTTCATTTGATACCAAGAACTTTGACACTTTGATCTTGACATTGGAGTATGACATACTTAAAAAAAAAAACAAAACCTTTACCATAACTTTTGAAGGGTTAGGGCTAGGGCTTTCAAACTTCACATATTTAATCCTTGTGACAGGACTTTTCATTTGATATCAAAAAACTTTAACTCTTTGACCCTGAGCTTGAAATTAAACTATGTTTTAAACCTTTAACCCTGGCCGTAACTTTTGATTGGTTAGGGCTTTTATACTTCACATGTGTAATACTTGTGACGAGACCTTTCTTAAAAAGCCATCAATTTTGACCCTTTGATCTTGGAGTTTGACCTTACTTTCAAAAACTTATCCTTGGCCATAACTTTTGAACAGGTGGTGCTAGGGCTTTCGTATTTCACAATCGTATTTCTTATGAGAAGACCCTACTTTGGGTACCAATATAATTTTATTCATTTGCAATTAAGGAAAAATGTTAAATCTTTTCTATGTTGTCATACGGGATCATCAGTTTTTCACAAACACATCTTGTTCCTTATATTGAGAAGAGATACGACTCTCATATTTGACTTGTGCATTACCCGTGACAAGATACTTCCGAGCATACTATGCTTTCTGACCCTCTGACCTTGACCTTCACAATTGATCTTATTAGAAAAATCAACTTCGATGATAATTTCTAAATGATACACGTATATGATAGGGCGTTCATATTTGATACAATATGTCATAAAAATGTCATCTCACCCACAAAGACACCGAAAGCGGCGGACCACAATTCTTTGAATTTGCTTCTATCATATTCATTTTATATAAGTTACTAAAATATGTAATCAATTATAATAATGAAAAATCAATTTTCCATCTCAATTCCTTAATCATGTAGCATTTAATTTATGTTTGTTCCTCTTGAATATAAACGGTAAATCACAAATATAGTTTATGTCGACACATGTAGTTTATTTAGACAATATCATCTGAAAATCGTTCTTGAAGTATGTCATTTATTATTTTATTTCATATCTTATTTTTTAGAGTTAAATCCGTTTTGTAGTACCACAAAACATGCAGGGAATGAAGAGGCGATGCTGTACAGTACCATTGTCCTAAGCATTCTAGCTGTCTTGCAGTTTATAGCTTATATTTATCTTTCCTTTTGCTACAATCCCTAAATGTACCTGACTTATGGATTGTAATTTAAATGAAAAATACTTTTATTGTTTGCAGTAACAATCGATACTTTTCTTCTCCACAACTTCTTTTCTAACATTGATTGAAAGTTAATGAGACTTTCGCAGAAATTGATAGTGCCAAAAAACATCTTCTATTTTATTTTTTGATCTGACTCATAATTCGGACTCATTCAGCAAAGCAGGAATACTGTCATTCTTCCTTATATTGAAGGGTATATCCATCTGTTGACTGACGTCAAACACAAAGGCAGCCGCACGAGATTTACATGCATATTTGGCCTCCTTAGCGTCAGGCACAGAGACAGATGCACAAGAGATTTGCATGCGTATTAGGCCTTCTTAGCTCCTGACCTATCGACCTGCCTAATTTACATTCCGGCAGAATTATCAAGAAATAAACTCCGTCAACTTTCAAAGAGTTATCACAGAGAAAAAAATAGAAATGGAAATATATAAAATATAATGTTGAGTGCACCTAGCACCCGGTCCTACATGTAACTCTGGACATCAATGAGTTCGTGCTTTTTCTCCTTATTACGCATTTGTATTGCTTGCATTTATTGTCCACCGCTTTTGCTAAAGCGAGGGGACATTAAATCTCATTCGTCTGTCAGTCTGTCGCAAAATTTTACCTACTTTATATCTTTTGAATGAGAATAGAAAGGACTTTCATATAACACATGTACATTACCTGTGACAAAACCTTTCTAAATACACTGTGATTTTTGACCTCGTGACCTTGACTTTGAAGTTTGTTCTATTTTTCAAAAACTTGGTCATGACGTTTGAATGAGAAGTCATAGGGCTTACATATTAGACCTGTGTATTGCTTTTGACATGACCTTTCTTACTACACTATGATCTCGTGACAATGACCTTGAAGTTTGAAATACTTTACAATCATATTAATTTTCTTGATAACGTTTGATTGAGAAAAGATAGGGCTTTCATATATGAGATGTGCATTATCGGTGACAAGCTATTTCCGCATGCTTTGAATTCTGACCCATTTACCTTCATGACTGATCTATTTCAAAAAAATCAACTTCGATGATAAATTCTGAATGACATAGGATAGGGCGTTCATATTGGAAACAATATGCCATAATAAAAATGACGTATGACCCACAAGACACTGAAAACGGGGGCCACAATTTTATGAATTTGCTTGTTTTTTGTCTGTAAACTTGGACACTTTGTTATTTTAACTCTCATTCTCTTCCTATGAGTGCTATATATTTTGCATATTTACAATACATTTACAATACATAAGATAAAAAAGCTAGACAGGTCTGAAGAAGGTATAATTATTTTTTTTTGATAACTTTTCCTACGTTTTGCATAAGAACATTTTGTATATAAATAAACCAAAAAGAGGAGAACAGAAGTTGTCAGCAGGGTTATTATACCATACACCATTTGCATCCTGAATGACTTTTTGTTTGGAACACATCTACTGCTGCCATTGTCAATAATTGTAACGATTCCTTGTTTAGAAAATAAAAAAAAAACTATTATTACGAATAGTTATATCGTCGTCTTATAGTCGTCTTATAGTCCCTATATAATTTATACTAACGCAAACAGTTCACAACACGACATATTCACAGAATTTGAGACCTTATTTACCGGATGGTCAATTGCGCGTGCAGCGGAATTGTGACAACACATCAACACTCAATTAACCTTGTAAGCAATGGTTGTTGGCAACGGCCTCAGCAAGCCATGTATATGAGCCAGAAAAATCCGCGATGCGATTAAAAAAGAACGTAATACGTATACATAATATTAAATGAAATGTTTTTTTTCATATTTAAGTATTTGTTATTTAAACCAGTGAATTTATTCCTTGTATCACTTGTCTTGCGTCATAACAAGGCTGGTGACGTCATATTTGACGAAAGACTTCAAGACGGATTGTCCCGTCATTTCCCGGTCATGACAAGGAACACACGGTGGGTGTGACCAGTCAGCAGGGTATGCTCGATCCTCCATAGCCACCTGATCACACCTCTGATCTTTTGGAGGTTCGTGTTTGCTTTGCTTCATTTTTGTATTGTTTTATGATCTTTTTAGCTTGAATACTATTCGTTATCTCCATATGTTTCATTTTTAACCATTTTGTTATCAAGTATCGTAATTTTACAAGATTTTATTAATTACTGATAAAATTATTATAAATGAATTTAAATTGTTATTAACACATCATTAATTTAACTTTTCCCCATTTATTAATTTTTCATGACGTCACTATAAAACTTTCTATATGGTGCACCACGTAACTCTTATCTTCATTAACGTAACCGAGGTTTCAATTAATAAATTGCATCATTCTAAAAGATATTCCAAGCTTGGACCAAAATGGGGTCTTAATTAGATTATCTTCTTCTTTGGCACCATAACTGTTGTAGAAAATACCTTCCGTCTCAAGATATTTTTGCCAAAATACGAGGGTTGATCCAAAATTTCGTGTTTTTTTTAAAAACATTTTAATTATTTTTAAGTGGAATTGATTGAAAATTAAAAATGATAATATAGACACTTGATGAATATTTCAAAGGAAAAATGAGTTTAAATATCTTTGTTTAGTTGCCACAGAAACCGTTGTTTGGAAACGCGGGAGAGACATTAATGCGTTTATTTTCATTTTAATTCTTAATGTGTGAAATGAGAATTAAACCGCCCTATGTGGTATATAAAACAAAAAATATGTCATTATTATGATTGCTTGATCTAATATTAACCTTTATATAATAGTTTTACCGGTTTGTAGAATTTTAGATTATTAGTGAATGATTTATTGTTCGTCTTTAAGTTGTTAGACAAAGTCATATTTCGGTCATACGTTTTGTGATAATTTTGGGATCACTCTATCTTAAACGCGTTTATTATTGACAAAGGCATGGAAAAATGCATCAAGTTACTGGTTTTCCAGTGGCATAAGAAATTTAAGAAAATAAAACTTTTATGGACGTTGATTAAAGGTTTTGTCGCTATTTGAAGGCTCCGTTTAAAGTGCATATCCCCCTAGACGAATTAAAGGCGTTAATGGACGTTGTTGGCTGCCGTAATGTTCTTGAAATTGCTACTGAAATTGGAACATCATATGGAAGGATGGGGATATTTTGAAATATAAGTGAAAAATGTAGATAAGTTGGTTTGAGAGGATACCCAGGCTTTTCCTGAGAAAAGAATGGAGATAAGGACAGCATTTTGTAGAAATACGTATTTTAATTGGACATTAGAGCAAGTTGCTTCTATAACGTGACGTGACATATCTAATTTGAAATTACGTCGAAGTTTCCCCCGGGTTTCAAAACTGTCTATTTTCAGAAAGCTCGTGAGACCTTATTGGTGATTGGAAAGTGATGGAATTTTCCAATAATGTTGAATTATGATTATGCCTGATGTTCGCTTTCATCAGATCAAGATAAAAAAATTTAGAAAGAAATTCCACGAACTTTCGGATCAACCCTCGCATATCACCCTTCCAGCTTATTTTTTCCCCATCAATATATCTCCAACATCGGTGTATGCTCTCTTTCCCGGTGGTGAAATTACCTCTTAAATGATTGTAATTTATTAGAAGACAAATAATATTCTACAAGAAATATCAATGTTTTCAAAGAGGCATTTTGAATTTGACTATGATTCAGGAATATTGCGCCACGCTATATTAACGAGACTGGGATGTGGCATTCATTTTCAGACTATTTTGATCTCCTTTAAAAGAAGAGCTCCATATAAAGATATACAAAAATGATCAAATTTTATTACTAACATGTATGAATGTTTTCTTTGCCAAATGATAGTTGACAGTCTAAGATACCGTATCTAAAAAGATAAGTTAAATCTGGTGGTTAATTTATGGTTAATTTGTTGACCCCCAGCCTCCTTAATCATGCATGTGACACATTTCGATACTATTTAGAATTGTACTTGTATGAGTCAATAGTAACATGATTTAATCAGTATGTGAAATAATTAGATATGACTAGGCAAAAAAAGATTGATTGATATTTTTAAACTATTAAGTGCGATTTGTATATATGCGCAAACATTTTATAAGCATGAACATTTTCTTCTTTTCCTTGAAGTAGCTTTATACTTTATCTTTGATTTGTTAAAATCTTGACCAAATAGTCAAAATGTCTTCAAATGTTACTCAGATTTATTTTTTTCTTTGAAAATATTGCGGACGTCATACGTAACAGTAATTGTACCTTTAACTTTCCCGCTGAGAGAAGAAGAAGAGGAGACTATATTCGTGATATGGACTTCATTATTAAAGGTAACAATACCCTTTGTGGTCAAATCTAAATAAAAGGAAAAAGATGTTATAACAAAAATCAGCCTCATCTGCTTCGGTACCAACACCTTGAATTTTTCTTATTTATCATTACAGCTATATTTTGTATTTCATCGTTACATAAATGAAAGGTATGTTTACTAAGAGTTAGTGATATTATATTTAAATGCACTTTGAGGAATGAAAGTACCAAAATCCAAGATGAACACTTTGCTATGTAGAATAGAATACTAAATGGCTATGATTGGCTGGATTCAGCTATGAAAATATTTTCATTTTAAAGTAAAAATATTAACGTTTGAAATAATTATTGGAATGTAAGAATATTATAGAAAACATAGAAATACTAGAGGAGATTGCAGAAGTGGGGAAAGATATTTTGGTAGAGTGTTATTTACTGCTGATCGCTTAGTTGTAAACAACTTCAATTTTGACTTCTTAATGCCATGGGTTGCTATATTATTATTTTTTCTAAGCGCTTAGAAATTTCAAATGAAGCAAAGGATTTTTCGGAGATTAAATAAGTATAGTACTGAGAGGGCAAAAGGTTTGTATAGAGTTCTGTGGGGGAAATAATGAAATCAATATTTTTTCGTGAGAAATTTATTTATTTATTGTTTCAGGTTAAATTAAACTACCCAGAAATAAAACATAATTGTCATTTAAAAAA